AGGTGGCCAGGCCTGGTGTAATCTAGTTTGGGAAACAAGCTCAGAAAAACACCAGCATTTCTCTGGGTAGTCGCAACCAACTTGCAGGGTAACCTTGCAGCAGTCAGGTCAAGGAGCGCTGGTAGGGTTTGGAGAGGAGCTAGAGGCCTGCTACCTCAGAAGGCTGCAGTGTGGAGTGTAATAGCATCCCTACACTGGCTAAGCTTCCTTACTGCTGGCTGACAAGTCTCTAATCACTTAGTGCTGTAACCCAAGTTTTTTGGGTCACAAGGTTGGCTGTGGCAATAGTGTAACTAAGTTGTTTTTTTGGGGGGGGGAAGGGGGACCAGGAGCTGTCCCCAAAATGGCCACCTCAACAGTGTCAGCTAACTGCACTGCTGTGATTGGTACTGCCATAGCCTGGTGTTACCCTGTCTGCTGTGGCTGCCCCCAGTGCAGAGCTATCCTGCTATTCCTCTGGGCTGTGGAGTATGACTGGCTATAAAAGATGGCAGCAGACAGTTGTGTTCATAGATAATCCGCCAACAAGACTTGCTGTGTCCACGATGGTGTTTGCTGCTAGCATGGAACCAGCAAGAACCAAAACAATCTTGCTCTGGCACATGCACTTGTGCACTGCACAATAAAAGTGGGGCAACTCTTTCCAAGAGTGGCTATTTATTTGGACTGCCTTTCTCAGGCATCCAATGCAAGGCCCTATGTTTTATGTTCCTTGCCCCACTAGAAGTCAGTGGAAGCTTTAGGAGCTCAGCATTGGTGAAACTCTGTTTTTTGCAAACTTTGGCCTGATGATTGAGTTTAGGATAATGTTGTGCTTGCTCCTAGGCACTAAAATAATTTGGGCTGGATGGGTCTTTTTCTTGTTCACCTGTACCTGGTACTGTCACTGTCTGTTCTGTTTTATAGCCAGTCTGCCCCCAGTAGCACCAGCCATGTTGGATGCAGGGCAGGAGGAATCCTGCCCTGTTATTCCAAATGCTGGGCTGGTAGCTTGATTGGCAAGATATCGAGACACTGAGTTGTGAGATGCTTTTCCCTTCCCCATCAATTCCTAGGTGAGAAGATTATACATGCTTTCCCCATTAGAGCCAGCTTTCCCTATGTGCTGAAGTCTGAATTTTTTTTTTTTTTTGGTACCTGACAGGTTGGTTGAGAGTTGGATGTTGATAAACAGTGTCTATTTTGTCTCTTCTCTTTCAAGTGCTGAAAGGGTTGCCTTCTTAATGGACCATTCGAAAAACTCAAGTTCCAAACCCCAGGTGAGACCCTGGCTCCTACCCAGGCTGTCGAAGCTCATTGGAAGTGGGAGGAGGGAAGGGAGGAAACCACATTTGTAGGAGAAAAGCAAGGTGGAGAAGTTGGCTTTGATGTTTCTCTCCAAAGTATTCAGCTCAGATTCTTGATCCAGGGAGTGGATTAGTGTGGCTGTGTTGAGTGGTTTAAAGATTAATTTCACAGCTCTGAATTACAACCTTGGATGTACTTGACAGTGCTGAGGATTACTGCAGTGTCTCTGTAGTGCTGGAGATAAGACCACCCGCTGCCATGAGAGCAGAGGGGATTGGTTAATTCAAGGTTTGCAAAGTGCCATGCATGTTCATGTTGCCAGCACATCATATGTGGACAATGAGAGCAAAGCATGCAAAGCATCCCCTGGCTTTTCCTACTGAAAATGATGTTCATCTTGCATGAATTAAACCAGCAGCTAAACTCATTCTTCTATTGCTGTTTTTGAAGAGTAACAATCTTCTGGAGGACTAAACCAGTGTGGTACGAAGACTGGGCAGTAGAACTGTAGCTGAAAGGATGGCATTGCTCTAGGACATGACTAAAGATAAGGCAAGGGATAGAAATGAGATCCCCTTGTGAATATAGCATTTTGGAGGTGCTTCCCCAAACATGCCTGCACATACTCACTCGCTCTCAAAGAACTGCAGATGACAGACTTATTCTGCTGTCATTGGTGGCCTTGAAATAATGGGTGAGGAAACAAAGCAACTGTTCCAGTGCTAGGCAATTGGCGAAGGGTCTGAATACCTGTTGTGTTCCGTGAGGATACTGAGAAATTGTTTGATTGAAACTGCAGTACGTGAATACCTGTGGTGAGTTAAGGAGCACATGTGTTCTAAAACTCTTCATTTGAAGCTACATAGTCCTTATGATTTACCTCCTGGCTCCTTTAATGTCTATGTTGTCCTCTCTAGCCTCCAACACTGACTGACAACATCAACCTTGGGCCTTCAGCGAATCCAAAGTAAGCTCCATGTAAATATGAGGTAGGGTATGGAAGGAATTGCATAAGGTGGGGCATGCAGTGAATGATTGGCTTCCCTCTCTCAGGTGGATGCATGTGAACTAAAATGACGATGGTAATATGGCCCAGGTGAACACTGATGTAGCATGTATTTTAAACCTTGCCTTTCAAGTGGCTACCTATAGCTAGTCACATGCTCAGGTTGTGTAGGGTTTTGCTTTGTTTCTGGAAGGTCCTAATCCTTGCTTCTGACCACACTTATCCCAACCCCCTCACATGTTGTCTTCCACTTGGGACATTGGCTTCTTGTTAAGGTGGAGGAAGACTTTTGACCATACTGCATCTCCCTGGCACCTCCAGCTTTCTGTTTGCTTCCTCTCTGGGACAGACTCTGGCTCAACTGAAGCCCTGGCTCTTGTCAGGTCTCAACCTTTATGGGCTGAGATGGACTTAAACAAGATTCCTCTTCCACTGTCCTGTTCAGCCCAGTGAATTCCTTAAATGTGCATCATCTTTGCCTGTGGCTTCTCCCCCTGCCATTGCTGCCTCCTTTTGTCTGTATTGTACTACTGAAGATCTTTTCCAGGTCAGATTTGTCCATGGATAGCTGAAATGGGATTTATGTAGTGAATAAAAGCTAGGTCCCCAAGCCCCTCTCAGCTCTTACCCTCCTATTATAAACTTGAGAAAGGAACTTTGCTAGGTGGTAACTTGCTGTCTGCTTGTCCAACAGTGCCAAGCCAACAGACTTTGACTTCCTGAAAGTTATTGGCAAAGGAAGCTTTGGAAAAGTAAGTGGAATACAGCTTTGAACCCTAGTGGGCTACTGCTGGGGCCTAAATGACTTTCTATCATGCTAGCAGAACAGCAGGAAGAAAACATTGTCATAGGGGAAAAGAAGGGAATATGGGTAGAAAAATAGTGGCCTGCGGGAATTTGCAGAAACAGATTTTTGTTAAGATGTATGTCCTCTATATGACTAAAGTTGTTGTGGGAAAGATTAAGGAACACTTCTGTGGAATGAGAAGGGAGCAGGATTCAAAACCTAGTCTTGTGCAGGACGTATGTGTGGGGACAACTGCAGGTTTCTGCACAGGGGGTACACAGAGGTGCACATGCACCCCCCGAGAGTGCCGGTACCCCCCTGCAAGCGCTGGCCAATCGCTGTGATTGCTGTAGCTGGTTCTGGGAGTGGCTGTGGTGATCGCAGCGATTGGCCATTGCAGGATTGCCCAGGGGGCAGGACTGGCCATGGGTAGACCCCCTCCCTCCCCACCCCCAGTTGGTGGGACTGAGAAGCGATGGGGCATGCCCCCCCCGACTAAGGCAGCACCAGTCGCCCATGTTTCTGTAGGCTTCCTAGCATGGACCTGTTCCACCAGCGGGTGAATGACTGGTAGTGATTTTTCACAAAGCAACCTGTCAGCATCACTGAATTGAGTGGGAACTAAGAAGCTACATATCTAAAGAGATGTCCAGTAACTAGGGGTAGGTGGGAGCCTGTCCTCTGTATCTCCAATGTCTAGCAAAGCTTGATTTTTATTTTATTTTTTTTAAAGAATTTTGTTATGTTCCAAGCCAAATCAAGTCCAAATCCATGAGTCCAGAACCATAAGTGGCCCTACAACTGGCAAACATCCTACATCCCCACCAGGGGCTTCAGATATTTCCACAGTCTTTTGGCAGGCATCTTACATGCTTGCCCAAGTTTTGCCTACCCTCAGCCGCAGGAACAAGCTAGGGAGAAACTTCCCATTTCCATAAAATGGGCATTAAGCCCCAAAACCTTGGCAGGTACTAAACCACTCCAGAAGAACAGTTATCCCTGGGAGGTTTAAGGAAAACTGCCATCTTGGACCCAGATACATGGTGTTTCCCCTGCCAGGTCTAGCAAAGCTTGATATGTAACATGCTTTTTTGATTCCGTTTCCTTCCAACATGCCCATAGGACAGAGGTAAGGGTGTGAGTGTTTTAGCACATTTAAGACCCACAGGGTTCTTTGGGTAAATGTAGTATCTTTTATTAGACCAACAAAATAGTTGAAAAAATTGTTCCACACTTTAAGGTTTCTATGCCTAATGAAGGTACCCCTCATCTTGACCAATTCTCAACCCACCAGATGAGGGTCCTTGGCTTAATGGTACTTCATGAGATGACAAGGATCCTCTTGGTGAGGAACTAGGTGGAGTGAAAGGAATGTAATTTAAAGAAGCTTGGTATGCTGGTGTCCTTATCAAAGGATGGAGGAAGAACATAAACTGGGGGACCCTTGCTCTTTAAAATCATGGATATAATTCCCCTCCCCCCCACCACTCTGCCCTTTGTGCAGTCATGTACACTTGTACAAAACTGTTCTGAAACACTAACCAGATCAGAGTGGGGTAAAGCAATAGAAACATGAGATCTCATTTTGTTCTCCTCTGCAGGTCCTTCTAGCCAAGCGGAAGTCTGATGGGACCTTCTATGCCATCAAAGTCTTGCAGAAGAAATCCATTCTAAAGAAAAAGGAGGTATGTAATAGAAGAGCATATTTAATACTTGGGAGGAGGCTTTTACTTCTCTTCTGGGTATGTTTGTTTCACAAAAGAAGCAGGGCTTACTAGTGCCTCTGTTACTTGATGTGTAGCCCTGACAGAGCAGCTGAGAGAAGCAAGGATTTCTTGGATGAACCTTGTGCTTCTGAAAGGAAGATTAAACAACACTGGTTTGAGCCTCTTGTAGGCAAGGTCAGTCCTTGTCCCTTAGTCATTTTGAATGTGAACAGGCTTGTGCTTAGTATCACTGGTAACCCTTTTCCTTGGCTAAATCAACACTCAATAGGGCTGATTCTGCAGATACTTGCTAGTGAAGACAATACTTTCTGCTGTGGGTAATGTTGGTAACACAAATGAGATTACTTAGGCTTGTAAGCACTGTACCTTGTAGTCTTTACTAGGCTATTGACTGCACGGATGCTAGTTCATGCTACCCTATGGAGTGCATGCCTACGTTATGTGCCGCAGGGATGTAAGGAAAACATTTGTTTAGCATGATTCAGAAGAATCATTCTTGATGAAGGTCTTATGTGAGGAGGCTCTAGTAGGAATCCCCACTGAAGGCTACTCACCCATTACCCTCCCAGCTCTTCTCAGAGTGACTAACTATTTTGAGACCATGAAGAATCTTTAATGAACATTTGTCTGGCTGACCCTGGGGCTGTACCGACTAATTATCTTGGATGGTTCTTCACAGCAAAATCACATCATGGCAGAACGCAATGTACTACTGAAAAATGTGAAGCATCCTTTCCTGGTGGGACTCCACTACTCTTTCCAGACCTCAGAGAAGCTCTACTTTGTACTGGACTATGTAAATGGGGGAGAGGTGAGTGAGTGTATATGCAACTTTCCTTTTAGGACTCAAGTAAAGTAGAGGTCTAAAATGGTCCTGTTGCTGTTGTCTCTGATAAGGAAATAGGCTGTAGATGTCTTTATCTAAAGCAGTGTTCTTGCAGTTTTTGAAATGGAAATGTCAAGATGGACTAAACCAGGGGTCGGCAACATTTTTGGCCAGAGTGCCAAAAACACTGCAACCCTGACCCATGCCTCAACTTGGCATGCAGGGGCAGATTGTGGGGGAGCCACAAGGGGCCTGATTCTCATTGCTGGCTGTGGCTGTACACGTGCCTTTGGGAGGATGACAGGGGAGGGGCTGGGGTTGTGCTGCCCTGGTCCCACCCCCACTCTGCGCCCTGAGACGTGCTTGCAGTCGCCACCACCAAAGAGCCAGTGCCTGTGCTCCAGAGCCCAGTGTAACTGTTTGCAGTCTCCCAGCTGCCTGCCACAGCCAGCCTGGCCTCTGGGCAGCTGCACTGTGTAGTGGGAAGGCTGGAAACAGCTGCACCAGGCTCTGGAGCACTGGCATTAGCTCTGTGGTGGCAGTGGCTGGATGTGTACCTCCGGGCAAGATGGCGAGAGGGTCTGGTGTTGCACTACCCCAGGCCCCTTCTCTGCTGTCCGCCTGGAGGCATGCATGCAGCTTCTCCTCCTGGAGCTCAGGAGCCTGGTGCAGCTGTTTGCAGCCTCTTGGCTGCCTGTTGCAAACAGCCTGGGCTCCATGGGCTGGTTGTGGTGTGCCAAGCAAAAGGGCCTTGCATGCCATGCTCTAGCACACATGCTGTGGGTTGCTGATCCCTGGGCTAAATCATATAGCCTAGCCACTTAGGGTACGTCTATGTAGCATAACATAGTGCTGTGCAGAGAGAGCTGGGTTAGCACTGACTGAGAAGCAAGAGTAATACTAACTCAGGTGGACCAGGAACTAGTGCAACTATACTGATTTTGGAAGCCTGAGCTAGCTTAGGCTTCTCAACATGGTTTAATGCAGTGTTGTGCTGACATAACTATAGTCTGTCTTAGATTATGAAATAACCCTTTTGTACCACTCTTGCCTATGTTGTGCTTCCATCTCCCTTGTAACGAGTACAGGGTATGATGGTTCATTCTTGGCTGTAATGGTGACATAGAAGCGGCACTACTGCACCTATTCTAGAAAACATTCAACCACACTGCCATATTTAATAATCTAATGATGCACTGCTTACACCCTACAGGCTACCACTTATCTGGCTAGCTTGTATTCAGACTGTCTTAAGGTGTTTGTCCCCTTTATATGACGAGATCTATTTTCCCCCCTCTGGATACAAAGACTGCACATTAGTAGCGCATCTGTCTGGAGTTTTTGTTAGGCAAAACACAATACTGTTCTGGTGAGGACAGGGGAAGAGAATCCATATTAAAGGGAGGAAGAAGAGCTGGAAAACATGGCTTTTTGAATAACAAAGCCAATAGTGGCAGAAGCAGCCAAACTGGCTGCAGG